TGTCCCGTAATAAGGTCATTTCCTGGCAATTTTTTGCTGCTAAGGTTGTACCTGCATAACTTTTTAAGTTCTCTTAAAATTACAAAAGGTATATTCTCTTCGTCATCCTTTATAATATGCGTGGCATACCGCCACACCGCTGCATTGAAGCGACCTAGTACGCTGCGGCGCCGCTACGCGGGGGGCCTCAGCCGAGTTTTGAGCCTACAGATACACCACCAGGTTGCGCAGGCGGTGTAAGGCTCTCTTGCGATTGAGAATCGATCAACGCAGTATAAAAGAGCGTCGACACAAGCTTTTCTTCACTCACTTGCTTCAAGGCGAGCTCTTACAAAGGGCCCTTGAACGGAGTCACAGCTCTGCTTCAAAGAGCGCAACCAGCAAGTCTTCTCGACTTTTCAAAGTGCCTGGGAAGGCACGGAAGCGAAAGACTCAGTCCCAGCTCCGACCGCACACCTCACGGAGGGATGTGCATCTCGGTCAGCTGACGCACCAGCATCGCCGTCGCCACCACAGACTCTACAGTGGAAATGAATTCCCTTAGAGTTCTGTGCACAGTTGACTCGGCCCCCACGGGACACTCATGTATCAGGGGACAACCGAATGCGAAGGCCTCTCTCCTCGGCTCGCAGACCCACTTGCGCCACCGAGAGCCGGACGGTCGCAGCGCATGGCACAACGGAGACACGCTTCATCGCAACGCAAACCTTGCCGCCTAGGGCTTGCTCATAGAGCAACTACCATGCAGAGAATCACCTCCCGCACGGAATATTTCCGACACTTCTGAAAGGGATGCAACATGCACCCTCGCAAGAATCGTCCTTTTTAGGACCCAATTCAAATCACGCAGACGTGGCCGGTAATATCTTACCGCGCCCGTCAATTTTTGTTCTAAAACTCGCAGCCTTACACTTTGCCACGGATGCGCTACTGGCGCACTCAAGCTCCAAACACAACTGTACATACTTCTCTGACAAAGAAATAAACACATTTCTACACAATTGACTCTATCTCACTTCTCACCAGTTCGAACACATCCTAAAGGCATTACGCCCATAATGCGTAACGTTCTCTTTGATTGTACTTTGTGGGAAAGGTTTAAAAACCTCAGCTAAATGTTTTGCGAAAAGTTCTGCTTGGGATCATTAATCCATTTGCCGTCTTGGGATCTCAAGGAAGAATGTAGTACCTGGGGCCTCTTTAGTCTTTTGGTAACTTTCCACAAGTAGTAGCTTTCATCTGCTGTAGGTTGCTAATAAATTCTTTAAAGAAGTCGTTTTTCTCTGATTCTTTTGAGTAGATTATTTAGTTTATTAAATGTTACTTTATCGCCCTTGTATCTGGTTGTCTGCCACTTCTTGCGAGCTTTCCTTTTTACCAGTATTAGTCTCCTTATTTCAGCTGGATATTTTACTTCAGAAAGAACTTTACTTGGGATGTGGGATGTACTTATCTTAGCTGCTAGCTGCACTTTAGCTGTGATTTGGCTAACCTCTGCATTTATCTGATTTTTGGATTCTATTGAGATTTCTAGGTTGGTCATTTGTTCCAGAGTTTCACTGAACTTATCTCAATCCGTTTTCTTACTGTAAAATTTTTGTGTACTTTCCCTTGATATCATTTCCTCTAAAATAGATAAGAGGACAGGGGTATGGTCCGAGGATAAATCCACTTTACTCTCTATTGACATATGATTTCTCGAAATCCCTTTTACGATATAGAAATCGATTAGGTCTAGAGTTTTTCTTGGGTCTGAGGGCCAGTATGTAGGTGAACCAGATGATAAAAATTCATATTTATGTTTTTTCCCTGCTAAATAGAGTTTTTTACCTTTGCTTGTTGTCAATCTTGAACCCCAATACATATGTTTTGCATTAAGGTCACCCCCAATTATAAAATAGTTCCCTAACATCTTAAAGATGCCATAGTAGTTGTACGAGAGCCTTCGTTCTCCCATAGCAAAAAAAAAATATTTATTTGTTCTTATTTCTTATTCGCGGCTACGCGGTTCGCGCTTGAAATGATTGATACGCCTCGTGGGTTTTACAATTCTTTATTAAAATTCACTCTTGGCGATCAGTCTTTACATCGAATTCATTCGCGCTCGCGTTACAAGTATTTTGTCGCGTTACATTCGCGTTGCACGTCCGTGCTCGCCGCTCTCTCGTCTCGGACTCTGGCTGGGCATGCAGCAACCGGCACGTAGTCGACGCTAGTTGCCGAAAAGCTGCCTATCAGCAATCGACACCGCGAGCTTGGTAACAAGCTGCCAATCGCATTAGGCGTTAGAAAAAATACAACTACTCGTTTTTCGGCGATTTCTTATACGGACGCAAACTAACCGCTTGAAGGCCGCTTCGCTTGGAATAAACAAACAGCGGCGAAATAAAGGCCAACGATTCTCGAAGCTTCGAACGAATTCTCGTTTTCTTACTAGTAATCCTGAACATACATAGAACAGAAATATTAAGCTTTGATATTTAATTTTATTTATTTTAGACAAATCATACACTAAAGTTTCTAAACAATGGTCTTATAAGACATAGTGATGATTGGTATGATTGTATAAATTAATTTTACAATACATTCTGTATTCAAAAAAGCACATCATTTGAAACTTTAGTGTATGATTTGTCCAAAATAAATAAAATTAAATATCTCAAAGTTTAATATTTCTGTTCTATGTATTTTAAATTAGTTCCAACAATATTTATAATTTCCAGTCAATTTTATATTTTATATATAAAATTTATTTCATATATAAAAAAATATAGCATAAGATATTTTTTATAGTTATCCTAAATTAGTTCTAATATTTATGATTTCCAGTCAATTTTATATACATAGAAAATAAAAAACAAAAATTATAAACAAACTCGACAAGAAATCTTGTAATACACAAAATAAAATTGACTGGAAATTATAAATATTGTTGGAACTAATTTAGGATACATAGAACAGAAATAAAAATGACTGGAAATTATAAATATTGTGAAACTAATTTAGGATACATAGAACAGAAATATTAAACTTTGACATTTAATTTTATTTATTTTAGGCAAATCATACTAAAGTCTTGAAACGTGTGCATTTTTGACTGATTAAAATTGATTGGAAATTATAAATATTGTTGGAATTAATTTAGGATACATAGAACAGAAATATTAAACTTTGGTATTTAATTTTATTTATTTTAGACAAATTATACAAAATTTCTGAAACGTGTGCTTTTTTGACAGATCCTAAATTAGTTTCAACATTTATAATTTCCAGTCAATTTTATCAGAATCAAAACAAAACAGTATTGTTTTACCTTTCAAAAAATTGTCGTATATATTAAATCAAAAAAAGCTATCGTATATATATTACAAAAAAAAGAAATGATATCTATCAAACAATTACTTTTTTTAAAAAAAGATTTAAAAAAGGCGCTAAGTACACGCTCTTGTCACAACTAAAACAAAACCGTATTGTTTTATTTTTCAAAAAAATTGTCGTATATATTAAACCTTTCAAAAAAACCTGTCATATATATTAAAACCTTTCAAAAAAAACTTGTATATATTAAAATTTTCAAAAAAGCTATTATATATACTTTCTACAAAAAATATGATATCAGGAAATGGCACTAAGTGGGACTAAAGAACTATAAAAAAAGTTGTACACTATTTCTATAAAACTCTTCTATAAAACTCTTGTACATAAAGCTGTCGTATATATAATTAACTATATTATATACTATATTTTACCACATTTTACATATAATATACTATATATTGTAAGATTGCGCTGAGATCGTCCGATAGACGGCGCCAGCTCGTGGCTGCCAAATTCGGCGGACAGCGATCAGGAGCGATAGGCGATCACTGCGCGAGCGCGATCCTGCGCAATAATCGAGAAAAGATCGAGCTTTCGCGAAAATGCGAGAAAGTTCGATCTAGCTTTCTTTATTGGAAGAGTGATTGCAAAAATCACTCTCTATCGCCGAACCACTTAGAACAGCCGAAATAGCCGAAATAGCCGAAATTAATAAAGAGACAGTCGAGTCGGAAGACTAGCGTATTAAAACATAGTCGAATTTCTTGTATTAAGCATTGTCAAGTTGAAATTATATTGTTAAGTACTTTTGATTTAAATTCAGTGTTGAACTTTCTTTTTGTTCCATCCTGTCGAGCCTTTTGTCATTGCGGGCCGAGTCAAGAAAACACTATTTACACACGGCTAAAAACAAGATCGTGTCGTTTAACGATTGAATCCGTTCAAATTAATAAGCCGTTTACGTATCATTTAAGACTTTATTCATCAGAATACATCGCGTCGGAATAGAAAAGACAATCGTCGAGTCGAGAAAACGAACGAATCCTACAATTCTTACAATACTATATATAATATACTATATATATTATAAAAAATAAAT